ATAGACAAACCTCTGTCCAAACTAACCAAAAGACAGAGAGAGAGCATGCTAATTAACAAAATCAGAAATGAAAAGGGGGACATAACAACGGACACTGAGGAATCATCAGGGCATAATTTTAAAAACTGTACTCCACAAAATTTGAAAATTAAAAGGAAATGGACAATTTCCTGGATAGATATCACTTGCCAAAACTAAATCAAGAACAGATAAACAATCTAAACAGACCTATAACCCTTAATGAAATAGAAGCAATCATTAAAAGACACCCAACCAAAAAAAGCACAGGCCTAGATGGCTTCAGTACAGAATTCTACTATAAATTCAAAGAAGTGCTAATTCCAATACTCCTCAAAGTATTTCACAAAATAGAAGCAGGAGGCTCACTGCCAAACTCTTCTTATGAGGCTATAATTACCTTGATACCCAAGCCACACAAAGACACAACAAAGAAAGATTTCCCTCATGAACATCGATGCAAAAATACTCAATAAAATACTAGCAAACCAGATTCAAGAAGACATCAGAAAAATCATCCACCATGATCAAGTAGGCTTCATCCCAGGAAGGCAGGGATGGTTCAACATTAGAAAATCTATCAATGTAACTCACCATATAAAACAAACTGTGAAAGAAAAACCATAGGATCATCTCACTAGATGATGAAAAACCTTTGACAAAATACAGCACCTTTTCATGATGAAGGTCCTAGAGATATCAGGGATAACAGGAACATACCTGAATATAATAAAAGCAATATACAGTAAACCAACCCCTAACATCAAACTAAATGGAGAGAAACTCAACACAATTCCTCTAAAATCAGGAACAAGACAAGGCGGTCCACTCTCTCGATATCTCCTCAATATTGTACTTGAAGTTCTAGCTACAGCAATAAGACAACAAAAGGAGATCAAGGGGATACAAATAGGAAAAGAAGAAGTCAAGCTTTCACTATTTGCAGATGATATGATAGTTTACATAAGTGACCCGAAAAACTGCGCAAGGGAACTCCTAGAACTGACAAACACCTTCAGCAAAGTGGCAGGATACAAGGTTAACTCAAAAAAATCAGTGGCCCTATTATATACAGATGATGAGGTGGCTGAGAAAGAAATCAGAGAAACATCACCCTTTACAATAGCTATAAACAGCATCAAATATCTGGGGATAATGTTAACCAAGGAGGTGAAAGACCTGTATATCAACAACCTTGAGTCTTTAAAGAAAGAAATCAAAGAGGATACCAGGAAATGGAAAGATCTCCCATTCTCTTGGATTGGTAGGATCAACATAATAAAAATGGCAATCTTGCCAAAAGCAGTCTACAGATTCAATACAATCCCTATCAAAATTTCAGAACAATTCTTCACAGACTTTATACAACTTTATATGGAAAAACAAAAGGCCCAGGAGAGCCAAAACAACCCTATACAGTAAAGTAAATTCAGGAGGCATCACCATACCTGACTTCAAGCTCTGTTATAGAGCTATAGTCCTGAAAACTGCTTGGTATTGGCACAAAAACAGACAGGTAGACCAATGGAACCATATTGAAAACCCTAATTTTAACCCACACATCTATGAACACTTGATTTTGACAAAGAATCTAACATTATACAATGGAAAAAAGAAAGCATCTTCAACAAACGGTGCTGGCATAACTTGGTTTTGGCTTGCAGTAGACTACAGATAGATCCATGTCTATCACCTTGTACAAATGGATCAAATATCTCCACATAATTCCAACCACACTGAAACTCTTAGAAGAGAAAGTGGGAGATACTCTTCAAAGAGTTGGTACAGGAGACCACTTCCTGAACATAACACCAGTGGCACAGACACTGAGATCGACAAATAACAAATGGGACCTCCAAAAAATAAGAAGCTTCTGTAAGGCAAAGGACACAGTCAACAAGAAAAAAAGGCAGTCCACAGAATGGGAAAAGATATTCACTAACCCTGCATCTGACAGAGGGCTAATCTCAATAATTTACAAAGAACTCAAGAAGCAAGTCTCCAAAACAACAAAGGGCCCAATTAAAAGGTGGGGTACAGAACTAAATAGAGAATTCACAATAGAGGAGGCTAAAATGGACAAGAGACACTTAAGAAAGTGCTCAACATCCTTAGCCATCAGGGAAATGCAAATCAAAATAACTTTGAGATACAATCTTACTCCTGTCAGACTGGCTAAAATCAAAAACACTGAAGACAATTTATGCTGGAGAGGATTTGGAGAGAGGGGAACACTCCTTCACTGCTGGTGGGAGTGCCAACTCGTACAGCCACTTTGGAAAGCAGTATGGAGATTCCTCAGAAAAATGGGAATCAATCTACAACAAGACCCAGCAATTCCACTCTGAGGCATATCTCCAAAAGAGGCAAATTCATACAACAAGGATGTCTGTTCCACTATGTTCATAGCAGCATTATTTGTAATAGCCAGAATCTGGAAGCAACCTAGATGCCCCTCAACTGAAGAGTGGATAGAGAAAATGTGGTACATTTACACAATGGACTATTACTCAGCAGAAAAAAAATGGTATCATAAAATGTGCAGGTAAATGGATTGCACTACAAGAAAACATCCTGAGTGAGGTGACCCAGTCACAAAAAGACAAACATGGTATGTAGGCACTCATATATGGATTTTAGACATGGATCAGGATAGTGCCAGTCTGCACTACCACTGACAGAGAGTCTGGGAAACAGGAAAGAACCTAAGACAGATATGCATTGTACCCCAGAGAAGTGGAATGAGGCAAGGTCTTCAGAATAGATTGGGAACACGGCAAAGGGTGGGGGGTGGGAGTTTGGAAGAATAGAGGGAGAGAAGAGGACGATATAGTAGGTCATGGGGGAACAGGAAGGTTGAGTGGGGGGTAAAATAGGGGGAAGAGGGAATCGTAGGTTAGAAGACAGATCTAGCACCAGTGAGACCTCTAGTGATCTAAAAGGATGACACCAACTGGCAAGCTAAGCAATAGTTGAGAATCCACCTTGAATGCCCATTCCTGATAATGAACTTGATGTCTATAAGCATCCTGGAGCCTTCATCCAGTGACTGATGGAAGCAGAGGCAAACCCCCACAGTTAAACACTGAATTGAACCCATGGAACCCAGTGACAGAATGAGAGGAGCGATGAGCAAAGAATGGGCTGGCAAAACCAGCAGAGACAGCAGATCTGAACAGGGGAAAGCTCTGGAACCCCAGACTGACAGCTGAGATGCCAGCTTGGGACTGATCCAGACCCCATGAGTGTGAGAGTCAGTGAATAGACCTGGACAACCTATGGTGTGCTCAGCAGTGGTTCAGTGATTACCCCTGGCATACTTACAGACTTCGTGTGTCCATAACACAAAGGGGGATGCTCTCTCAGCCTTGACTCTTAGGGGAGTGCCTGAACCCTGCCCTGAATGAAATGACAGTCTCTATGTGAAAGGAACTGGCAATAGGGTGGGAGGCTGGGAGGGATGGTGGAAGGGGTGAGGGAGGAGGGGAGGGAGAGGCAACTGGGTTTGACATGTTAAGCAAGCTATTTAAAATGAAAATAATAAAACAAAAAACAAAAAAGAGAAGACAAAGTTGGAAGGGATTGGGGATAGGGATTGATATGGATGGAGATGGGGAGGAGTGGAGGGTGAATGTGATCAAAATCTACTGTGTGTCTGGATAAAATTCTCAGAGAATTATTAAGTAATTCTAAGAATATTATATTTGTAGTCATTTTGGACGGCTCTGATGGGACAGGTATTCAGGAGTCACAGAATACTATGTTTTGGAGCCAAGGACTACCACAGGCCCCAGTAAGCATAGCATCTTACATCCCTGCCTCAGGGAAAGGCTTCCCCAGTATATGGGCTCTTCTCCAGCAGGAGAGGGTCATCCAGCTGGGGATGTTTTTGCCCGGTATAGCAGGTTTGCTCCCACAGAAGGTTTCCCGGGGGATGAAACTGCTACAGTTCAGCTCTGCTCCAGGGAGAGTGGAGAGATGAGTGTAACAACTCCACTCTGCCAATGGAAGGTTTCCCCAACAAAAGTGTTATAGCCCTGCTCGCTCTGCTCTGCTCTGCCCAGCGTCGTCTCTGCTCTGATGCAAAAGACAGTCTTCACCCAAAGCTCATCTAAGGGGCTTATAGGAAGGGAAGAATCCAGGAGAGTGGCTGCCCTCTGCCAGAGTGGCAGAGGACACCTGAGTAGCAGGAACAGCCACAAGCTAAACAGACACAGGGTTTATATAGGGCTACCAGGGTGGGGACTGTTTAGATTTCAATGCTGAGCTCAGATTAGCTATAGTTCCTGCTCAAGGACTGGTTAGTTTTCTGCACAGGGTTAGGTTCAGATTTGGCTCTGGTTTTAGTGCCAGGGTGTATTTCTTTCACTTGCTCTGATTCCAGGAACAAAGTGTGTTTCCTTGCCACTGCCTTCAGGGTCAGGGTACATTTCTTTGGTTCTGGTTGCAGGGCCAAAGTGTGTTTCTTTGGCCTTCGCCTTTTCCCTACAATATTTAAAAAGAATAATGCAAGGTTCAAGTGCAGTGCAAATCCCCATCTCCATGGCCCCTCCCAATAAAACACCACCAATAAAAAGAGTACAGGAAGAACATTCATCTCTGACTTACACACACACACACACACACACACACACACATGCACACAGATATGTACCCACAATCTCTCCCACTTTATTTCCTATTTCAATGACAAAGTAACTCTGAATTACAAAGGTGCCTTCAGGGATTTCACTGATGGACAAATCCTTCCAGTGCCTCAGGAAAGGAGCTTTTGAATTTGATGTGAAATTGACACTGTGAGGTCTAGGAGAAGGCTAGACAATAGTGGCAATAACTGAAGGTCGTGTGCTTCCTGTGCACAAAGTCTGCACAAAGCACCTTGTGCTTTCATCGTATTTATTCTTCATTGAACTATGTCAGATAGGGGCATTCTTTTCCCCATTTCTGGAAGCTGGAAAGGGTAAGGAGCTTGCTCCACCCAGACACAAGACGCAGTGCATATACTAAAAATTGTAACAATACAGAAAAGATTAGCATGGCCCCTGCGCGAGGATGACATGCAAATTCGTGAAGCGTTTTTAAATTTGAACAATCGATTTGGAGTCTTTGTGGCCAGAGGACAGTTTGTTGAATTTGATGACACAAATAAGTATAACGGATTCTCTTTTGGATCTTTTTAGAAGCCAAAATAAATCCGCAGGCCTCCAGAAGCTCCTGTAGCTCTGCAAAGGCTATGTAACATTGTCTTTATTCGGCCGCAGCCAAAAGAATATCATCCATGTAGTGGATAATGTAAAGATCAGGGAACTTAGGTCTGAGTGGATCTAAACAGGCAGCTACATAAATCTGGCATATAGTTGGACTATTAGCCATCCCTTGGGGGAGCACCACCCATTGGAAGCGAAGGGCAGGCTCCCTAAAGTTAATCGCAGGAAGGCTAAAAGCAAACTGTAGACTATCTTGAGAATGCAAGGGAATAGAAAAGAAGCAATCCTTCAAATAAATGACAATCAAATGCCAGTCTCTAGGAATGGCCACAGGCAAGGGCAAGCCAGGCTGGAGTGCCCCCATAGGATGCATGGTCGCATTCACGGCCCTCAAGTCTTGTAGTAACCTCCATTTCCCTGAAGATTTTTAATTACAAATATCGGGGTATTCCAAGGGGACGTGGAAGGAACCAAATGACCCACCTCCAATTGTTCTTGAACTAGCTGGGGAGCCACCCTTTGTTTGAAACTCTGCTGGTAAGTGCCACTCTTCCACCCATACCGGATCATCCGATAGCCATGTGATGGGTATGAGAGCTGGTGGCACAACAGTGACCTTCATCAAAAATGACCAAAACCCTTCCTATCTCCCAGAGCCCTGGTCTCCAAAGGGAGGGATGCCACAGGGCAAACCGCTCCCTGTTCTAGTTTACCTAGTTCCCTAACCGGACTCCAGCCCCTCCCTTGCATCATCTGGGGGACCCTGCTTTTGGACTTGCATGCCTGGGTGGTGAGAACCACTCCCATTTCTTGCATGAGGTCCCGTCCCCAGAGGTTAATAGGGAGGCCAGACAAAACATATGGCTGAAAAAGCCCTGTGTGGCACTCAGAGTCTTGCCACTTTAGGATTCAGAGGCTTTTTTGGGTTACAGCCAGTCCTATTCCCTGGAGGGTCACTGTCACTTCCTCTTTCGGCCAGGCGAGGGGAGGGGGGCAAAATTTATCTGATAGGACAGAAATGTCCTTCCCAGAATCTAAGACGCCCCTAAAGAACTTGCCTTCTATACGTAATGTAAGCTGGGGGCGGTTCTCCATAGTGGCTACCCAAAATGCTGCTGGGCCGGTACTTCCAAAACCTTGGTTGCCCCTTTTCTCTTTAATTTTCGAGCCGCGCAAGGAGCTGTAGGGAGGAGGAGTTACTGAACAATCTGTTCTCCTGCTGGGATGGCAACAACCCCACTGGGATGGCAACAACCCCACTGCCCACTGATGTCATTATTTTAATCTCACCCTCACTTTCCTGGTCGATAACACCCGGATGTACTTAGATGCCTCAAAGAATAGTACTGGACCTTCATGGGGCGGAGCCCTCCTCCAGTTTCCCTGAATATTATTAGCAGGAAAGAAATTTCCCTACTGGTCAGTTTTAGAGTTGTAATCATTGGCCCAATGATATCCCCTTCGGCAACGGTAGCATAAGCCAGGTCTCTTGAGACCCGTACTACTATTTTGAGGGCACTCTCTACGGAAGGGTCCCTCCCTACTGCAGCTGAAACATGTTTTTCTCCCTCCCAGCGTAGGTCTTTCTTTCCCCACTTGGGGCCGAATAGCAGCAGCTAACACTTGGCCCTGGATGAAGTTCCCATCAATGTCCCTACACATCTGGATATAGTCATTTAGACTTTTATTTCGATAGGGGTGAAGGGCTTCCTTACAATATTTATTTGCATTTTCAAAAGCCATCTGCTTGATGACTAGCATCGCAGGCCCAATGCCCCCAAATATTCTTTCTGCTATCTGACTGAGACGGTCTATGAAGTCTTGAAAAGGTTCGGAGAGTCCTTGAAGGACTTTGGACACATGATCCCCTCCTTCCTTGGAAGGCAATGCTTTCCAAGCCCCTTGGGCCGCTGCTGCCACTTGGGCATAGACTGCGATGTCATATTGCATTTGTTGCTGGATGGTGGCATATTGACCACTCCCGGTAAGCATCTCCACATTTCTCTGGGGCTGTCCATCCTGTGCATTTCTTTGGGCTGTCTGGCTAGATCTTTCCTGAAACTCACCCCTCCAAATCAAATAACCTCCCCCAGATAGAGTTGCTCGGCAAAGCTGCTGCCAATCACTAGGTGTCAAGTTAAGAGGCACAAAAGATTCCATTAAAGAAAGTGTAATGTGAGCCTTTGCTCCATAATTTAAAGTTGCCTCCTTAAGTTGTTTTATATCTTTAAATCTTAAAGGGTTATGACGCTGAATGGCCTGCCAAGAATTGTTCGGGTTGGGAGCTTCCATTAACAGGGCCACCACCTCCTTTGTGTCTTCCATCGAGGTCCAAGAAGGACTGGGTTATATCATAGGAGGAGTCCCTTATTGTAAAGAGAAGCTTTATCCTTTGATCTGCATCAGTCCCAAATAAACACACAGGAGGCTATATTCATTATGAAGCTGTTGGCCTTGCTTTTTTCTAACTGGCTAGCTCTGACTTAAGTATTTACCCCATAATTGTTAATCTATGTATTTCTCTTACCGGAGAGGTTTCCGGGCTTCCTACCCCAATGGCGTTACATCTCAACTCTCTGTGTTTCTCCTTCCCAGAGTTCTCCTGGACTCCTAGTTCCTCCTATCTTGGTTCCCTATAGGCTCAACAGTACTTTATTGACAAATGCACAGGACTTCGCCCAACACTTATTTCAGAGTATGGAGAAGGGTTTCTCTCCCTGTCCTGTCTTTTCTTAATTTGAGTCTTTTTTAGTTCTTTTTTAAGGGCCACGATCTCAAGTCTGAGTCTGAGCTACTTCCATTTTCTAGGTCTGACAGAGAATAATATAATCGATTCTGACCGGAGTCCTTCTTTTTGGGTCGTGCCTGGAGATCTCTATCCATTTTTTTGTTGTTGCTAAGAGACTCCTCCTCATCCTCACTAACAATGGAGCCTCTAGTTTCAGTCAGGGTCTCTTCAGAAAATTCATCCTCACTCTCTGCCCCTGAATTCAAGGAGGCTTGAGTCTCAGTCTCTTGTTACTCCAAAAAAGCCTCTTTTTATCCTGAACTACCTGGTGGTAACAAATCTTATCTGTCAAAAGTGCACCCCTCACTAATTTCCATAAGGAGAATGTGGTAGGGAGCAAGGACTCAGAACACTCTTTTCATAAAAGTCTATGAAGATCACAGAGAACCTCCTCCCAATCTGGGATATTTAAGCTTCCCCCAGTAATAAATCATGGACTCGCTCGTTCGATCAACTTTAGAAAGCCTTCTAGGGTTTTAGACTTGACTGCAGTCCCATGTCCTTTAAGTAACTTTTTAAATTGATACTGTAATGATTCTAGCTTCCTGGAACTATTCCCCATCATTTGTTAACCCCGTCCACTTACCTTGCTTTCACGATCTTGGAGGGACCTCCAATTGCCGTGTCCACTGAGCAGCCTGTGTCCGAGAATGTGCGGAGGGTGTCAGGGATTGAGAATACATAGACCCGAAGGCTCCTCCAGAAGCCTCTCTTTTATTCCTACTCTGGCTGATTATTATATACCCTGACACCAGAGTTGGAGGTGGGTGGGTCTGAAGAGGCAGATAGTCTTTGGAAAAGGGCTAGGACAGGGCGGTTCCTGTGGGCCAGCCCTTTTCAGGAACTTATTGCCCCAGGCATTGTATTGTTTTTAGTAAACATGTTTTTAGTAAACATTGTCTTACAGCTGCCTACTCCCAGGCTGATGGGGAAGTGGGTCTCTGCTCAAGGTCTGGTGTCCCCAGAAGTCAGGGTATCCATTGCTTTTCTTATCAGTGTATCAATCTACCTCACAGAAGCCACCTAAGGAAGGAAAGTTTACTTTGGATCACAGTCCCATAGCACAAGTCATTCATGGTGGGTGGCGGAAAAAAAACTACTTACCACATATAAAGGAAACTTTAACAGAATGACAGCTGAATTCTTAATGGAAACAATGGAAGGGCCAGGAGCAATGTATTTTAGACATAGAAAATTATGACTGATGTCATAAATTAAGTTACCCAGCAAAACTATATGCCATGAATCGAAGCAGAAAGAACAAATTTTCATGATATTGACAGCCTAGAAATTTTACGACTTGTCTACAGACCTAAAAAGTATTGCATGGTGTACTTGTTACCACCGTGTCCATACCTGTTAGTCAGTTGAAGAATATTAAGGTGGTTTTCATTTCCTAGCTACTGTGAATAGAGTTGAAATGAACTTGAATGAGCAAATATCTGTGGAGCAGGACATCAAGTCCTTTGCACCAATGTCAAAGAGTGTTTCAGCTGGATTATGTGCTGGATTAATATTTTTGGTATTCTCCACCTGATTTCCAAATTGAATGGAGCAGTTTGTTATCCTACTGACATTGAATGAGGGTTTCTCCCTCATTCCTCTCCAGCATTCATTGTCAATTGTTTTGTTGGTCTCAAATAATTTACATATTTTATATAACCATATATATATATATGTATACTTGTATATATTTATATCTGCTGTGATAGTTGAGCTGACAATGATGCCTCCAATTGTCAAAGCAATTAATGAATAGAATCACATGAAACTGGAAATCTTATCCATGGCAAAAGACACCATCATTCTGAGACAGTTTACAGAGTGGGAAACAGCCAATACCAGTTATACATGGGAGAGAGAGAGGGTTAGTGTCTGGAATATATAAAGAACTACAAATTTAAAAAAAGACACCAAGTAAACAAGTACCTCAAGTAAAAACAAGGAAGGATAAAACTAAATAGACTTCTCAAAAGATGAAACACAAATAACTTAAAAGTCAACAGCTATAGCCATTGGGGTAATGGAAATGGAAATTACTTTGAATTTCGACTTACTCGAGTAAGATTGGCCAAAATCAGTGAATCAAATG